TGTATCGATTCTCTCTGTGATAATAAAGAGTATAGATTCTTTCTTATCAATTGGTGCGTGAGCTCGGATCGAATAGAACGTGAGCGAATAGTTATGATTGAAGCAATTTGGGGATTTCGTAATTGCAGAAGAAACAGAACGCAATGATGGTGATAGAGATCGGGTTATCACTAGTTCGTGAATTGTCTGCGGCGGAGCAACACGACTCTTCACTGGCCGACGTATAGTTTGTAAACAAAATAAAAGAAATGAAGGTCACTTTAAAAATTCTTTCAAATATCATCATAGGAGGTGTGATTTTCAGGCTATCTATTTTAGTTATAATTTGCTACCCAAATCATCTCAAATCGTTATTAGAACAATTTCATTGTGAATTCTCAATTTTCCAATAACCTGAAATTTGAGAAGATTTTAATAAATGAATAATTGAATAACCTTAGATTTTGAATCATTTAAACAAATACTGAGTTCAATAAGGCAGACTTTTAATGGATTTTGGAAAATCACCAATCCAATATAGAGAGATTGTTTAAAAAATAAAAATCATCCCAAATCATAGATCCAATATCCCCCCCTAAATTTTTGCTAAAAACGCTTGTAAAAAGTATTCTCGTTGAACAAACAAACAAGACCCACCCCAAAAAAGAGTATTCATGTTTTTATGGCCTCGACAGTATTCATGTTTTTTTCCCCAATTTGGCTTTTCCCAAGGAGTCTCCCTCATTCCTCCCATACGTCGTCGTTTGGTGTTTTTAGTGTTACGTCGCGTCGTCGAAGGAGCCGTGGTTCATAATATATTCTTCCTTGTTATCTTATTTAGGAGCTCCAACAAAGACTGATTCGTTTTAGGTTTTGTCAGCATGGCTTCCTTATGTTGTAGCTATCAACGCCTTGGATGCTTATCCATCTACTCTCACTTGGTACACAATTCATCACTTGTCAGCATGACCAGCCAGATTGGACAAGATTTTAGATTGAATCCATATACGTAATTTTCTTTATAAAATTACCACCGTGTATGGTATATGGTATCAACGGTGGTTACATTTTTTCTTATTTTGAAAACATATCAAGCAAGAACCTCTAATTTCTCATATTTTACACTTTATGTTTATGTACTAATAGATGGGTTGAAGCGAAGCGAATAATTCGCAAATATAACGATAAATATTTGAATATTTCAAGTTCCGAATACTGGAAAATTTACGAATAGAAGCAAATAACAAAATCTACTATTCGGGTGAGGCAAAGCGAATCACATATATCAAAAAATTCTGAATATTTGCTTTGTGCCCAGGCCTAGTATATATGTACTTTCTTCGAGAAGATTATCGTAAAAATATGAATTCAAAACAAAAGTTCAATAGGAAAATAAAGTCCCAAACAAGAACGTATCAAACAAAAACCCTAGACATGAACAAACCAAAAATTTGAAAAACTCTTAAAATAAACAGAAAGAAACCACAAACAAACTAACCATTGCCAGTTTCTGTACGCTCAAAATGACAATAAGTATCATACTGTATTGTCCACAAGTTACCATTGATCTTGTTCAACTATCTCCAAGGTTCAACATAACTTCGAACTTTGTCTTGTAGGAACAATGATCGCTTCATGTAATCATCAGTCGATGAGGAAAGTGAGTATACACCGTATTTTCTGTCCGCTTCTTCTTGCCATCCTCGAACGGTCTCTCTCAAAATTCAGATATAGTCAACCTCAGGTTGATGGAGAATTGGAGATAACTTTTTGGATTTTCATTGGGATCAAATACATATAATGCAATTGATGATTCAACTAAAAGGAGAATGAGTAAGAGTTTTACGGCTAGAGTCTAGCCATTGTTGAAGACATCAAGTGATGATAGGAGTTAAGGTTTATATATACTTTATTATATGAATACAAGTTTCTCGACTTCTTTTTCCAATTGGGATTAGGGTTTGTAACTTTTGAGACTAATTAAATTCCTTAATTAATTTTGTTTATCTTCTAATTTTAATGTTTATCGTTAGAAACAATCGATTGTGTTTTTTTAGAGCTAAAGTTTAGCTTTTTAACAGGAAAAAAATATAACAAAAAAAACAAAAATTGTAGTAGAACTATATATATATATCCGACAAATGATATCTTTTTACTACGAATAATCTTCTTATAATTAAAAGAGAAGTACAAATTGAAAATTTGTCAAATTTAACCTTTAAATCATTGAAATTGATTTCAATTTGGAGACACATTATTGAAATCGATCAGGGGTAATTTTGGCAAAAGAAAAAGAAACAAAAAAAACCAGTCTAGGATCCGCGTGCTTTAGACGCCCGCCCAAGAAAATCATTGGATCTTCTCCTTCGTTTATTGACCCGGAGTCCTGAACACAGAGTTTTGTTATGTCAAATATATTAATGGACATTAAAAACCCATGAAAATATTTATTAAGTTTATAAGGCCCACTAAAATCAATAGTAAGTTCAATTCAGTACAGAAAAGTTTCAACCCATCATACGCTTTTGTGTTTTGTTAGTTTTATGAAATACTAATATTCATACATTTATGACCATCTTAAATATCAATTTCGTAAATCAATAATTTTTTATCAATCACATCAATTTCGCCCAAATTAATGTACTGATTATTTGCATACCACTAATCTGTACTTATGATCATATTCCAAAAATGAGCAGCCTTAATATTCTTATTATCTATAAATATCACTCTACCTACAATCGATCCCTTCAATCATCGAGCTATTACCTCATTTTTTCATATTCTTTTTAGTTCATTACAGACGTGATACCCTACAAGACAAGTGCAGTCCTGCAAAACCTGAAAAGCATACACAACAAGTTTTGGTGAGATGAGTTTATAGAAATAATAGAATGATTTTTTTATTCTAAATACTCACAAGTCTTTTTACAGGTACAATCACAGTGTGTCCGACGGGTTAAATATCACTTTGTAAACTTTTTTAAACTCATCAATACTAAAAGAAGCAGGATTACTATCTCCATTTCCCCCAAGAAGACAATTTAATCAGTTTTTGAGATGATTGAGGTAAAGCTATTCTTAAACCCATGATAATATTATCAAAAGTTATTAGAAAGATTAATGTATTTTCTGTTCATTGAACTATTTCAAGCTATTTAACTAACACAAGAATATGTATTAATCTGAATCCTATTTTGACGAATGATAGGGTACTTCCGTTATAAAAACTAAAAATCTTATGTCAAATTTTATTTTTTTTTAATTCTTTTTATTTTATTTTTTGTAAACAGAAACAGAGTATCAAATCTCAAAAACAGAAGATCCGCTTTTGCTAATGCATCAGCCTTTGCGTTCTCAGTACGAGGTACAAAATGGAAGGAAATAGAAATAAATAAGGTTCTGAGGAGTTTGATGTTCTTAATTATGTTAGAAAATTATCGATTGTAAAGTTTGTTTCGTTAAACTTCATAAAGGTTAAGAGCTAACCATTACATCTCTAGCTCCTTGCATCATAAAAAAATAAATTTAGTATACAATAACAAAATCTCTATTGTATTCGTTCTCTTATCAATTGAATCTGATTAAAAAAGAATTAATTATTTTAAGTAACTCTATAAGAAACAAGAAGGATTTCTATGAATTAAGAACTAGATTTTACCAAAATTAATAGATGCGTTCAAAAAAAGTTAAAATTTTGGTAAGATGAATTACCTCGATGTCAAGACATCTGTATGTTAGCATTTAAAACAGAAGTTGATTTGGTTTAAATATTCTTACCAATCTCTTTGACAAGACTCTCGGTTTGTCATATGATTAGGTACATTTTTTTACTATTACACCTATTAACTTAGATTAATCATATTTAACATAATATAAATTAAATTGCACGTAAAAAAAATATCACCACAACAACAAAAATCATTAAACTCATATATTTAAAATATATAGTTTTAAAAATGACTTTAAAAAGTAAAAATGTAAATTAGACACTTAAGATAGAATTTAATTTACAAACTAGAAAATGATAACATTAAAATAAAACTAGAAAAATCAATTTATAGTAAAAATCTATGCATGTCCTATGAACTCAAGCGGGTCGGAGGAGGACATATTTTATAGACCCACAAATTCTATAGGGTGAGCTTTTAATCCAACATTAAAAATATTAAATTATCATATATTATGAATTATGTAATCATAGTTCATGTTCTTACTCTTAAACTAATAATTTTATCTGATAAATTCAAATAGAATATTTTTTTGTGTATACATCAAACAAACAAAAATACACTAACTTCCACATATCTCTATACTACTGTATCAAACAAAAAAAAAATCTAAAATAATATATTAATCAATAAATTTTAACTGAAAATAGTACATTTTAAGTTGTAAACTACATAAATAATAATAATAATAAAAATATTTGCTATGCTGTTGTTAGTGGTGTAGCGCAGGTCCAACCCATTACAATACGACACACACTTATAAGAGTGATGTAAATTGTGAAATAGATAAATATAATTCATAATAACAATGAATAAAACTAATCAGTTTTGAATTTACACACAAAACACCTTACGAAACGTACATACATAACATCGACTACTTAAAACAATTTGATAAAACAAATATTTCCCAAAAACATATATATAAGATATATATATCCAATACGAGATACATATCCAATAAAACAAAACATATAAGAAAAAATAGGATTTCCCAAAAGGATTTATAAAAACAAAGACCCGCGGTGTACCGCGGGTTCAATTCTAGTTACTTAGAAATAACAATGATAATTACTTAGAAAATAACAATAAAATAATTTAATTAGTATTGTTGTGCTATTATCTTAGTAAAGGTTTGTTTGAAAAAATAAAAAGAAAATAAATAAACAAAATTAGTTTAGGCTTATATATATAACTCCAATCATAAGAAAAACTATAATTTTAACTCGATTATAAATAACACGATATTGATCAGAGAAATACACAATTTTTTTGTGTGCAATCATAATAATGTCTCTCTCCATATTCAAACTCTTCATCTTGTTCTTATTGATTGAATCTTCCATTGCAAAATATGTAAGCCAACCTGATGATCAAGATGTGAACATCGTCGACTATTCAAGTTTGTTCAAAGAGATGATTGAAGGATGGCAACGTGAAGCAACTGAGAAATACCCTTTCAGGCCAGATTTTGAGAACTATGACGGCTTCTCTTTCAGACAAAACAGAGATCAAACTTATGCCAACAGATCTTTTTATATACAAGACAAGGCTCAAGCTTATGTTCGTCAGTGGACCAACTACAAGCCATACCGTGACTTGGGGGACAAGATAGGTGTGTTGTGGCCAACCCAAGATGATGATTCTTGTCCTGAAATTGAAGCTATGAATCTCTTGACCTATATGTTACATGGCCTGAGTCGTCGTAAACACATTCTTCGATGGCTTGAGTGATTGTTATTTTTCTAATTAACTAGGTTCGGACCCGCGCTACAGCGCGGGGGAAATAATTACATATATAACTTTTAACGGATTCTAATATGTTATATTTTAATTTTATTACAGTACAATCGATTACAGTAAATCATATATTTGTATAATAAGTTTAAATAAAATAATAAACGAAAAATCGAGTAAATATTCATATACTGAGTTTTGATACAATTAAAAACACGGTGAAAATTTAACAGCACGAAATAATATTTGTCGATAAACTATTCATTTTAACTATTTTTGTAGTAAAAGTAGGAATATACGTAAAAATTACATGTTTACAATATATTTTTTGAAGGTCCAACCCGTAACATAATTCATTTCGTAAAAAACATTATTTGTAACTGGCTTTATCATTATAATTGTGATTTTAACAAACTACCCGTGAACTATCTAAAATTTACATAGTTTGATATATAATATATTTTATCAATCAAAATTATGTCTCCAAAATTACATTTATGTCTTCAAAAAAATATTTCAATATTTTAAATTCTAAAATTTTTATATATTTGAACCTTTTACTTATGATATCTTGAAACTATTTGAAATTTTAAATATGCTCAAGTAACAATGGTTTTAATATTGGTTATACTTATAATGATTTTAAACCATTGTCCAAAATATTTAATCGAGTGTAGTTGAGTATTATATGTCCGTTTTGAAAAATTCAAATTGCAACATATGCAAAAAAAAAAATTAAATTTTTATTAAATTTTTATATTATATAGTATAATATCATAAATTATAAATAATATCAAATAAAAGTGAAAGAAGAATACTATTTTTTAAATAGATTGTATTAAATTAGTTAGAGAAATATTAGTAAATCCTATAATTAGTTATGGAAATAATACAATCCTAAAATTAGATTTGGAAAGTATCCGGTGTATGTATCCAAAACCATTAATCTATCCAACTTTAAAAGATCCAATTACAAATTTCGGGTAATTTTCTTAAATTGACCCGACCCGGAAACACTTTTTGTACTTCTCTTTTACTAATATAGGGATTCTCTAGGGTACGTTTTTGTTTAGTTGATTATTATTATTTTACCTTTGCTTTTTTGTTTTTGGATGTTTAATACAAAAAATAAACATATAAGGTTTTTCATGGAGAATTTTTTTTTTGGTTTTCATCAGATAAATTGTGAGGTCATATTTTTATTAATATCATTTATTAATAATAAAAATTCAAAACATCTCAAACAGGCCCGGTCAAACTATACACGAAAAACCCAAATAGCAAAAAAAAACTCTAGAATCATTCGAAAGAGAAAAAAAACTCGGATTCTTATAATCCTAATTGAGAGTGTAGCTCAGGGTAAAATTTGAGCCAATCACCTCCTATTCACCTTTAACAAACAAAGAAAACCAATTGTGAGATGTTAACCTGCTAATTAACATAATTTTTTACATCCTTGTTTCAGCGTTCAAAATGGAAAAGATGTTACACTTATAAAAACAACAACAGCTAATATCTCACGTTGTCTAGAACCATCCAATATATAACCTTTGATGTGTTTAAATTTGGATTGATCTGTCAAATGGCAGCTTATGTATGCATGAATCTGCTTCGTATGTTCTTTGTGTAAAGCATCTATCATCTCACGCAAGTGTCTGGCCTCCTCTTTCATCAAATCGTTAATGTTAGACACATGTATGGTGACATCTGCAAAACATAAATCAATGAGTTGTTTATAGTAGTAAGAAAAAAATAAAACGATAATTGGCACACTAATTAACCTTCTGCCGATCTCACAGAAGTAAATTTTGAGATATGCTTGCAAATTTCGCCCTCTATGTAGAAACTATATGAAACTATACTGTACAATTTATTGAGTTAATGAGAAGTTTACTTCAATCTTCTTCTTTGTTTCGTCTTCTCTCTCAACTCGATCTCTGAGTTTGTTACAAAGAAGCAAGATCTGATAATGACATGGCGGAGATGAAGGAGACATATGTTTTGCTTTATTCACTTTTAAAAGTATGTTTGTTTATTTCTGTCTTTTTTGGTGCACTTGTGTTTATGTATTGATCATGTCATGTGTGTAGCTAGCTTTTTCGAAAGGATTATAGTAAAGTTTGAATCCAAAACAAAAGTTCTATATATAGGAAAATAAAAAGTCCCAAACAAGAACGTATAAAATCTTAGACATGAACAAAAACTGGAAAAGAAAACTCTAAAAACACCGAAGAAAACAAAAAAGAGCTAAGCGAACAAACAAGCCTACCCTAAAAAATGGCCTACGTCGTCATTTAGTGTTTTCAGTATTAAGGCAAAGGAGCCAAACGTTTGGTTTTGCGTATAGGAAACTCTTCCTAGTATATTTTATGTCGGAGCTCCAACAAAGACCGAAACATTTCATGGGTTTTGTTAGCATTGCTTCTTTTTGATTTTAGGCTCTTAGATGGTACACAATTCATCACTTGTCATGACCAGCCAGATTAAACAAGATTTTAAGTTCAATTCATATACCTAATTTTCTTTATTGACTTTTAAAAGAATGTTTTTTTTCTTCTTACGGTCTTTGATGGTGTAACTTGTGTTTGTGTATTCATCAAAGTTTCCACTATATGGTATAGATGATCGTAAAGATTATCTTAAAAAGATGAATTCAAAACAAAAATTCTATAGAAAAATAAAAAAGTCCCAAACAAGAACGTATCAAACTAAAAACCCTAGATAGACATAAACAAACTGAAAAAAAAAAAAAAAAACTCTAAAAAAAACACAAACAAATTAAACCATATCAGTTTCTGCACTAAGACCATATATAAGATATGTCAAAAGATCTGTACCCTCAGCTTGACGACAAGTATCATACTGTATCGTCCACAAGTAACTTTTGATCTTCCTCAAGTCATGGAATGGATAGCCTTTATGATTCTTCCACTCTCCCCAAAGTTCAACATATCTTCGAACTTTGTCTTGTAGGAACAATGATCGCTTCATGTAATCGGTCGATGAGTATAAACCGTATTTTTTGTCCGCTTCTCCTTGCCATCCTCGAACGGTCTCTCTCAAAATCCTGATATAGTCAACCTCAGGTTGATCGAGATAACTTTTTGGATTTTCATTGAAATCAACTCTATACAATGCAGTTGATGATTCAACTAAAAGGAGAATGAGGAAGAGTTTTATGGCCAGAGACATTGTTGAAGACCTCAAGTGATGATAGGAGTTTGTGTTTATACTTTATATATACACAAGTTTCTCGACTTCTTTTTCCAATTGTAACTTTAGACTAATTAAATTCCTTAATTAATTATGTTTATCCTTAGAATAAATCGGTTGTGTTTATTAGAGCTAAAGTTTATCTTTTACAAATAAATAGTAAAAAAAAAATAGTATTATAATTATATATATATAATTTTTTTGACATCAATTATATATATATATATATAAAAAATTATATATATATTTGTGACTGATATCATTTTATTAGAAACTAGAATCTATCCCGTGGTACACCATGGATCTATGTTTTTTATAAATCATACAAATTTAAATGAGTTTAGTAAAATGATATTAAAAAATCTGTAGTCAAGATTTTAGTGGTTTATATTTTTTTGGTAACAACCGAAATATTATCATATCTTCAATATATATTAAAAAATTTAAAACATTTTGATTGAAATAATATATAGAAATTACTTAAAAAATAACAATGAAAAACTCCACATTAATTACTTTCAAAAGAACAATGATAATTACTTAGAAAATAACAATAAATTAATATAATTAGTTTTGCTGTGACATTATCTTACTAAAAGTGTGTTTGACAAAAACAAAAGAAACTAAATAAATAAAATTAGTTTAGGCTTATATATATAACTCCAATCCCGAGAGAAACTTTAATGTTAACTCGATTATAAATAGAGACCCTTATAAATAACACGATATTGATCAGAAATACACAATTTTTCTTTTGTCAAATCATAATAATGTCTCTCTCCATATTCAAACTCTTCATCCTGTTCTTATTGATCGAATCTTCCATTGCAAAATATGTAAGCCAACTTGCTGATCAAGATCTAAACATCGTCGACTATTCAAGTTTGTTCAAAGAGATGATTGAAGGATGGCAACGTGAAGCAACTGAGAAATACCCTTTTAGGCCAGATTTTGAGAACTATGATGGCTTCTCTTTCAGACAAAACCGAGACCAAACTTATGCCAACAGATCTTTTTTTATACAAGACAAGGCTCAAGCTTATGTTCGTCAGTGGACCAACTACAAGCCATACCGTGACTTGGGGGACAAGATAGGTGTGTTGTGGCCAACGCAAGATGATACTTGTCCTGAAACTGAAGCTATGAATCTCTTGACCTATATGTTACATGGCCTAAGTCGTCGTCACAACATTCTTCGATGGCTTAAGTGATTGTTATTGTGTATTTGATTATTATTATTTTACCTTTGCTTTTTTTTTTTTTGGATGTTTAATACAAAAAGTAAACATATAAGATTTTTCATGGAGACTTTTTTTTTTTTGGTTTTCATTAAATGAATTGCCAGGTCATATTTTTAATATCATTTTATTAATAATAAAAATTCAAAACATCTCAAACATGCCCGGTCAAACCTTACACGAAAAAACCCAAATAGCAAAAAAAAATATAGAATCGTAAAAAAGGGGGAAAAAAACTCGGATTTTGCAGCTCCCCATAACAGAGTGACCAGAGCATTAGATCCGGCTGGTTCAAAATCTATAGCTTTGTGTCCACGACGAAAAATCCAAAAACATATCTCATATTTCTTTTAACCACAAGTGATATAGCTGAGCTTCAACAGTTTTGTTTTAGTCTAGTTTTTCTTACTTTTGGAATGTAATTTAACACTGATTTGTTTTAATAAGTCACATAGATTGAGTAGACGGACATATATATTGGAATAAATATAATTCTGTCTCTTATCAAAATAAGGACACACAGAGTCAATATCATCCGTTGGTTTTGCCTACTTAATAATCATCTACTAATATAACAATGCTTCGACAACTAATATAATTACTGTTCTTATGAAGTATCATTAAAACAAACACTTTATACACTCTCTCAGTGCTCTGTGAACAATCAAATCGAGGAGTCTCCCTCATTGTGTAGTTTTTTCAGTATTACGCCGAAGGAGCAAGTGGTTCATATACATTGTGGTGGCTTTGGTTAAGGGAAAAGTATAGGAAACTCTTCCTTTGTTATCTTATGTCCGAGCTCCAACAAAGACTGACTTGTTTTTCAGGTTTTGCTGGCATTTCTTTCTTTTGTTTTGAGCCTATTTATCTACTCTTACTTGCTACACAATTTCACTTCTCATGACCAGCTAGAATAGACAAGATTCTAATTTGAATTCATATACATAATTTTCCTTATAAAATATTTCTCAAAGTTCCTTCAAAGTGATATATGAATATTGAACTTTGTGAACAAATGCTACAGTTTACATCTTTCACGTTTTTAAATTCCATATATAAATGTTATTCTAAGAGTTTAGGATCCGATGAGAAAAAAATATAGGTTTTGAACTTTTTTTGAATAATCAAAGAGGTTCTAGACCAAGCCCATACATCTCTTCAAGCACGAAACCAGAGCATGTTTTATGGTTTCGTCTCAAGCGCTACTCGAACCGGTGACCTCTAAGCTTTTGCCAGTGATCTTTAACTTAATTTATCATCAAGTTAATTTATCATCAAGTTTCCAATATTTGGATCGACATGATAAAAAATCCGGATCGAGTGTGAACCGAATGAGTGATAAGTTAGAAATCAATTAAATTTGTGAACTATCACATCACATAAACCAATGTAAAACATTAAGACTTTTGAATAAAATAACATAAATATAGAAATCAGGAGAGTGAAACTCGTTCACTATGCATGTCCTAAACCAAATTGAAATATTTTAGTCCACCCACATGAATAAACAGTATGTCTTCAGCTTGCCCGTTACCCATAATTCCCTTTTGTATATTATTAAAATTAGTTAAGATAAAAATTTTTATTTTCTAAATTACCCGTTCCCTTTCCGTATCCGTTATTTCTTGTCCCGATATTTGAAATATTTACGTAATTTGAAACTTATTTTTTGCTATTTAAATTTCATATTTTTGTATCATACCCGTCATTTGCTATTTCAAATTTGAATTTGAATTTAAGTTTCCGAATTTTTTATATCGTTTTTTTTTAATGAGAAATAGTTTAGATAATTTATGTTTATAATTACCCGTTCCCTTTTTGTACCCGTATTTTCCCTTTAAGATATGATCGTATATTTTTTTATATAAATGAAATCATTTAAATTTTAAAAAAACGACATTATATAGCTTGTAATTAATTAATTAATTAAATTACCCATTCTCTTTCTGAATCTGTTATTTCTTGTCCCGATATTTGAAATATTTAAGTAATTTGAAACTTACTTTTGCTATTTAAATTTTCATATTCATGTATCATACCCGTAATTTGATATTTGAAAGTTGAAATTAAATTTAAGTTTCCAAATTTTTTATATCGTCTTGTTTTTGATGAGAAAAAGTTATATATATATTTTTTTTGAATTACCCGTTTCCTTTTTGTACCCGTTCTTTCCTTTTAAGATAAGATTCTTTAAAAAACAACATTATATTTCCTGTAATTAACAACATTTAAAAACAAATACCGTTAGTTATTAGGCAGGAGAAACATATAGCCTGTAATTAGAGTATAATGTTCTATTTTGTATTACCACAAAATTTGAAGAAATGTAAGCAAAAAGTCACATTTATAAACTACGAACTTATCTCCGTTTAAATCTTCAAAAAGAAATGAATCTATTGAATAAAATATATATCAAATATTTTACTAAGTAATGGTCAAATAACTATTTTATTCCATTTTAATCATAATTATTTGATTTTATTTATTTATTTGTAGCATACATTAATTGTTTAATTCTTTTTGTGGATGGGCAATGTTATATTATATGAAAAATATAATAATCGTGTGATATGATTTTCAGAACTTTCTTAAAAGTATTAAATGCTAATTGCATATTAGTTAATATCCAGCGAGATTGGGAAGTTAATATATTATTAAATTGATGTTAATAATAAGGAATGTTTATTTGACGATTTTATTTTTGGTCACATGCTATTTTGGTTTTTTATTTTATTTCAAGGAAATATATAAATATCTTTTGTGCTATATTTTTGAAAAAAAATATCAATATGAAAATTTTAAATGTGAAAATAAGAGATTATATGTGATACAAAATATTTATTCGATTGAGTTTTAAAAACGAATTTTTATTATTTATTTTTAATGATTTTTGGGAAGAACCTCAATTTTTGGGAAGAACCTCAGTAATAGATTTTAAATGTTTTCATGAAATATTTCATCCCTATGAACGGGTAATCATAGTATTAATATTACCAAATGTTTCAAAAAACTTAATTTAGATATTATACGCTAAACATGATTATACCATTATCCAAAAATAATTTTAATCATAATTTCTTATTTTTTTAAAAAACTATTCCCGTATATTTTTGAGAAACTCTGTTAAATACCACTAAAATAGGTATTTTTCCAAAAATACCATTATGAAGTTTATTTTCCAAAAATACCATTATAATACATTTTTTCCAACAATAACAAAAAAATTAAACTTAAATTTTTAACATTCAAAACTAATTTCTAAATCCAAAACACTAAACTCTACCCCTAAAAACTATACCCTAAATGTAAATAGGGGGGAATTTCAAAAATATCCCTTTTCCAATACCACTTTTTTAAAAATACCCCTCTTTCTAATTTTATCAAAAAGTCACTATAAAATTTGAATTTTATCAAAAAAATATGTATAAACTTATATTTATAGACACAAATTATCTTTACATGTGTGTAAATTTATATATAACTTTCATATGTACCATATAAATACCTTTTAAAAATCATATAAAAAGCTTATAAAAACTTTGTAAACCTTTTAAAAACCTTATAAAAACCATATAAATACCGTTTTAAACCTTTTAAAACCATCTAAATATTTGGATTTAGTCTCCGAGTAGTAATAATGATCTTGATGTACCTTATCAACCATATAAAAGTTTATAATTTTTCATATTTGAAAAGGGGTATTTTTGAAAATGGATAGAAAAGAGGGGTATTTTTAAAAAG